CCTGGGCCTGTGCACACACCATTACCTGGAAGACTGGCTGTTACTGACACCATCTCATCAGTTGGCAGAATGTCACACCCAGATATCACTTTCTGAAGCAACCAAGGTAGGATTTCTTATCAAAGCCAAGAAAGCTACTCTCACTCCAATACAATATATCATCCATCTGGGTATCTTTTTCAACATGTATCTCAGTCGGGCTTAGCTGACTCCCATCCACCTCCATGCTATGGAACAGGCAATCCAACTCTTACTTCCATCTCTTTCTCCTACAGCGCAGATGATTCTTTTCTCTTTTGGGGATGTGGGTATTTCTCGAATCCCTCATTCCTTAGGAATGAGTGCATGAGATCCCTTCAGTGGTCTCTATGTGACCAATGGATCATGAACAGCAATCCACTGGATTCCCTAGTCTCCTTATTCAGGATCAATATTTACTGGTAAGATCTTAACAATACTATAATAGGTGTTCCTCTGCTGCCACCTTGTCCAGAGATCCATCTTTTCATGGATGCCTTGCTTCAGGGATGGGGTGCAAAAATCTATGGTAAGGAATTCTAGGGCCTATGGATGGATGGATGGCATTTTCCCCTCCACATCAATGTTTTAGAACTTCATGCTGTTTAAAGGACAATGTTTCAAGGACTGGAATTATCTAAGGGCAAAGTAATCATGTTCCACTCCAACAATTCCATGGTGGTGTCTTACACTTCCTGTCCAGGGGGCAATTGGTCCAGGTCTCTTTGTTTTTGAACCTTGAGTCTTCTTTATCAGGCCCACTCCCATCATATCATCCTACTAGCTTGCATGTTCCAGGGGTGATGAATTTGGTAAGGGATTAATTGTCTTGACCCAACCAGATTCTCACAACAGAATGGATGCTTCATCAAGGAATTTTCTGTTGGATTTGTTCTCGGTTTGGGACACCAAGGATCAGTGCGTTTGCCACACATTGGAACAATCAACTACCAGCATTTTGGCCTCCAGTATCTCACCCTCTGGCATTGGCAATAGATGCATTCAGTCAGGACTGGACTGCATTGCACCTATATGCCTACCCACCAATTCATCTCTTACTCAAAGTTCTAGCAATGATTCGTTCAACCCCTTGTCTCATTCTGTTGGTAGCACTGGATTGGCCAGCTGAACCCTGGTTTTTGCTTTTTCAGTACCTTCAGGAGTGTCCACCTCTTTCACTTCCTCTTTGGCCATCTTTGTTGAGGTATCCATGATCCAACATCTTACACCCATCATTCAAAAGCTCAAGCTTCGTGCGTGGCGGTTATGTGGTCATTCGCATTGCATTGGGGTTTAACTTCTAAAGTTGCCGTGTACCTGTCTCAGTCTTTTTTTTGTCCCACAATGGACATTTATCAACAGAAATGGCATAAATATTGACAGTGGTGTATTGCAAGGAGATTGAACCCACTTCCTCCAGATGTGCCAACCATAGCTCGGTTTTTGAGCTGGCTCTTTGACAAGGGTTTCACATCTTCCACAGTTGCCCTATATGAGGCGGCCTTATCGCCTACTTTTAGATACTCGAAGAGACAGAAATTCTTTAGTCTCCAGTGCTCTCTGGCCTTCTCAAGTCGCTTTGGGTCATAAAGGTGGTGTTACATGCTCTTTTTCGACATCTGTTTGAGCTCTTAGCTTCATCTACCATGTATTGTCTTGCCCTTAATGTTAATTTTTTGTTGCAGCAGTCGGAGTTGGTTGTGCTGCACATGCACAGGATTCTTTATCATTCTACTTACGTCCTTCTATACCTAGATAGGTCCTTCTTACCTAAGACACTGGAAGCCAGGGAAGGGGATAAGTCCTTTCCACCAATTCATCTGACCACTATTTCTCATCTCTCTGAATAATTGAATCCTGATAATTTTTTATGTCCAGGTGAGGGCCATGAAGTGTTATGTTGCCTGCACTAAAGCTTTTAGAAGTGTTAGACAGTGGCTTTTTATTCATTGTACCCCTTCAGTTTCTTGGGATTTATTCCCAGTTACCTTGAGGGGTGGGTTCGAAAATTGATCCATATTGCTTATTTTGGACTCTCTTTGGAAGCAAGGAGACTTCTGCAAGTCATATCTTATCATATTCGTTCCAATTCTATGTCCTTAGCGGCCCAGTTGAATTGTTCGTTGGAGGACATTGTGCGGGAGGGTATGTGGACTTCCCCCAATACTTTATCTTGCATTATTTGCATGATCTGGCAGTATCTTCCTCAGTGAGTTTTTGGCTATCCCCTATAGCTGTGTTAACCACATCCACTAGATTATAAAGAGGGGTGAGTATTTTCATTACTCATCTTGTCTCTTCTTTCCTTTCCAGTGACCCTTACCTCTTTTTCACAAGTTCCCTCTCTGTGGCAAGTGTTGCCCTGTCAGATGTGCTTTTATCAAACCCAATCTGCATTAGCAACCACTAACACAATATACTTTATCTAAATTGCAACAGGGTTTGTAGAAATGAGGTGTTTCAGAAGACCACCTACAGGCGTACCAGGTGATATTACCGTACTTTACTGGATTGCCACTCATGGACTATCATGAATTAAGCATAAGAGGATTCTTTTCATCCCTGCTGATTAGCGAATTGCAGAAATCTTGGTTGTTTGGCATTAAAAATTTGGGTACTTGGTTCACCTATTGCACTGTCTCCAGAGCAGTGTTCTTCAAGATTCCCCAATGTGCAAAAACATCCCCCCCCCCCATATTCTACTAGTGAAGCTAGAGAGTCCATACCACTCCCAATTTCCAGTCACTAGGGTGGTGGACAGACAGGATCCTGTCATTCAGAGTTTGGGGTGTTGCCTTTCGGACTTCTTGAAGAGTAGGAGATGGTTTGTCCACTTTCTTAGGTGTTGCATACCTTCTCATCGTGATTCCAGCGGCTCAGAATTCATCACTTTATATCTACAGGTAGGTATCAACTCGTATATATATATTGCTGTCCAAATGCTCTAGCCACCAGTGTAGGATTTAGGGCCATTGCCCTATAATACCAACCCCATACAGTTGGACCTCAACCACTTGGTTGGGGCCTGGCCAATAGTGATGATGGTTTACATCAAATTTCACCCACAGTGCATGATTTAGGTTCTGGGGGAAGAGCATACCTGCTCTGGATGTAGTGCAGTTCCCCCACTAGGGTGCTAATCTTCTATTTCTTTTGGCTTGCACACGATCTATGCAGACACATTCTGTATGGATAATGCCCTCACCAGCCCCTCTGCCTTATTAATGTGGGATTCTAGCTGTAGTGTGAGAAGAGGTAAGTATGTTTTTGAAGTTAGCATTTTCTTAAATTGAAAATGTATATCCAATAATACTTAACTTCCCTCACACTCTCCTGCCCTTCATCCCTACTGAGAGCTGGTATTAGAGACTGAATTGAGTCAGTCTACAAAAAGTGACAATATTATCTAAAGGAGGTGTTTATATACAGTACCAGGACATAGGCAGAGAGTGTCAAAATACAGATATTGCCAAGGGCAGTTAAATGGGGAATAAAAGACTGGAGCAACTGAGAAAATATCAGACCAATGCTTAGATAGACAAAGAAGAAGAAACCCTAACAGTCAAGTAATAGCTGTAGTGTGAGAAGAGTTAAGTGTTATTGGAAATACATTTTTGTTTTAAGAAAATGCTAATTTGTGCTTTTGGTCACTAATTTCTTACTAACTTTAAAATGTGGAGTTGCTCACAAATGTAACTGGGAAGTTAAAATTAGTCCTCAGATGTTGACAAGCTGTGAGAAATGCTTAACTGTTGATGCTAGTTGTAAACTTCTACTTGATAAATCAAAGATGTTAATATATTTGCAAAGATTGTTGCCTGTAATTTGGTGTTATTATCAAATATTTTATATTGTAAGAGAAAATCTTCTTTTACATTATTGATTAATGTATTATTTTTGTAGAAAGTGTATCATCAGTTAAAATGTGTAATGAAATCAATATAGAAATATAGTAATAAAAATGCAAAAAAAGATAATAGAAATAAGCATGTGTTTTAAGTAAACAGAAGTAAATGTAAACCTAAGAAGTAAAAAGAACATATGCTTTCCATGTGGAATAGTCATGAAAGTGACAAAGAAAAAAAGGAACGTTGTAATGATGTACATGTAAAAAATGGAATTTAGCTTTTAGTAATATTGATTGCAGATGAATAGCAATATTACTGTTTACAATAAGGTTTTTGAAATATAAGGTTTTGGTGTTTATTTGAGCTAATAATATGATGATTAAATTGTGTGGTATACATGAATACCATGGTGAAATTTAGAAATACAACTTGCAGAATATGTTATTATTGAATAGTTTTGGGCTTAATGGAAGGCATTAACAATTCATAGCATGAAAAATATTATTAAGTTTCAAATTTGATGTATCTTGAAAGAGAGTGAGTACAGCATTTGGGGTGCCATAGAGAGTATCAACAGTTTCTTTCCACAATGTCCTGTTACATATATGATAAAAAATACTACTGTGTGTGTATATATATATATACACACACACTTCTCATACATCTTAAATGTGTACAGTTATAGTTTTTTCTGATTGTTTAAGCGAAGTTTAACTTATTTTATATTGAACTCAGAAAACAGTTGTAGCTATTAAATTTACATGTATGTTTTGTTCATTTTATTGAGTATGACGTCTTTCTGAATGAAAAACTTTTATGAAATACTAATAAAATAGTATATTGTTGAGAATTAGCTCCCTTTTGTTTTATTCTTAACTTTTTTTTATTTGTTAATACAAAATTCCTTGAAGTTTGTATAAGGACATTCTAATTATGAAAATAATTATTAAAAAATTGGAACTTAAACATAGGTTTATGGTTGGCATATATCTTGTATTGACACAGAAGATTAAACATGTGTAAAAATTAAAGTTTTATCTCTAGTGTTTAATTCTTATAAATGTTTTTTTCTATATTTATTGAAAGGTTTGTTCTGTACTTTTTTCATCCTTACAAATTGTTTCTATCTCTTAGGCTAAAGAACAATCTAGCACAATAAACAAAGTGAAACAAATGTTGGATATTCTGTTGAAACCTGAAGAGAATATAGAGAAGAAAGTGCAGGTAATTTTTGAAAACAATTTTTGTTCAGTCGAGGAGAAAAATGTTTAGGTACAGTTGGACTTTTAAGAGAAATAACACATTTTTCTAAACTGTTATGCACATATAATGGCCAGTTTTGACCTTTTCAACTAGTTTTTTTTCATTAGAAATCAGCTTATACTAACCAGACATTAGTCATAAATGTACATGAACATATAGATTTAATGGATAATGCCACGGCATAAAATAATAGATGATCATGTGCTATGCACTGGGTCACATTGAAATTGCCTAATTTGATTAAATGATGAACAAATACCTTTCTTTAATAATGTACCAAAAACTTATATTATCTAAATAGTAATAACAACTTAGAATGATAATAAAATGTTCTAAGATGCAATAGATTATTTATACATGCAGTGAATTTCTGAAGAACCAGTTGTCAGTTTAAATGACTACTTCAAATATGGGTTGGGTTGGTTCAGATTTCTTTTGTAAACTTACAATTGTGTACTTATACGTGTAAGGTTGCTTGTAACAGTGCATTTATTCCAATTGTAAAATCGTTCTCCATATTTTGGAAATGAATGCAGCTTATTATTTTGCATGCCAGCCATAGTTTTTTGGTACATGATCACAGTCATTTAAAAGTTTGAATATGACAATGATTATTACCCAAAATACCCATTTGATCTGGATCATAACACGATATGGACTAGAAACATGGACTAGGAAAAGGTTTGTGTAAAGAAAACTGTGTTATTAAATCTATTAACTTGAGCATTTTTGGATTTTTGTCCAAGATTGATATATTTCTCTATTTAAAAAAATATTTTGCTCCGGGGTGGGGGAGTTGGTGTACCTCAAATGCTTATTGCATTGTGTTTTCATAATATTCCTCAGTATTCTTCATTTCTGAATTGGTACTGTAATTTTACATAAAAATTAAACATTAAACATTTTCAAAGACATAGAAAATACAGCAAAAATATACAGAATGATTATACAGAAAGTTTTGCAGCTTATCTTATACATGGTATGGCATAGGAAAGTGACACTGCACAAGTAATTAAAGTTACCATGCCACCAGGGGTCAATATGTTTTTTTCCCACATTTCTCATGAGTGTAAGCCAACATATTTGGATACTGAAGATAATATAAAGTTCGAACAAAATGGAAGTAACATCGTGAGTTTCTGAATGAATATTTACAATTAAGCCTGTGTTTTTGCCTCTGGTTATTACTCCTATATTAAAATGACCGATTTTTCTAGACATTTGTTGAAACTGATATTTCCTTAATTTTACTTTTCAACCTAAGGAAAAAATAATTTCAGCAAAACTTTCATCAAAATATTGTTGTAAACTATGCTTTTAAACATTTAGATGTTTGTAATATTGGCTACAGAGAATTCTAGAATTGATGTGGTATAAAGAATAAGTGAAATTTTGAATGTTCAGGGAAATTGTACACAGAACTGCAGAAATATACAGGGTGATGATTATAAAGGTTTTGCAGCTTAGTGCATCATATTGAGGTTATCATGCCACCAGGGTCAATGTGGGATTTTTCTCATATTTCTCACGGGTGTAAATGGCTCTGTCAGTCACAGTGCAGCTCATTCAATCAATGTGAAAGTGACAAATGTCCAGAGAGGTGAACTAGTGAAAAGTTTTTAAACCAAAGGCTGCAATGCTGAGAGAGATCTCAGGGAATACCATAGAGTGCATAAAATCTGTAGAGGTCTGTGTTATAGTTTTGTTTTTGTGTGCAAGTTCATATAGAATTTGAGGAAACAGGTTGCATTTACAATAAGTCATGTACAGCAGATCACCAACACATATTGAAATTGTCACTGAAGTCAGCCATGTCATAGCAGAAAAAGCCAGCAAAAGTGTTCTTGGGTGCAGAAGTTCACATTTTGTCATTCAGTGTCTAAATTTACCAATTTCAACTGTTGGTAAGGCTCGTTGGTCAACATTTCAAAATGTTTCCTTGCAAGTTGTATCAAGTTAAAGCACTGAAGGAGATGGACTTAATCTGATGTGTTGATTTTGTGTTTCAGTTCTTGGCAAGTCTTAAATTTGATGACCAATGGCTTGCCAATATATCATGGATTGACGAAACACACTTCATCCTAGTTGGATACATGCAACTTTATTACCTGGTCAGAAACTAATCCACATATTATATTTCATACTCACTTTCATGATGTTAAAGAGACAATTTGGTGTGGTTTCACAGCTGAATGTTATTGTTAATGAACTGCAAACCTGCACAGTCAATGCTACATAATACCATCAAATGCTAACAATGAATGTGATCCTCACGATGCAGCAATAAAATGTGGTAGACACTACAGTTTTCGTGCTGGATAGTGCTTCTTCCCACATTGGTAACCAGGTGGAACATCTTGCAGGAGCACTTTCAAGACAGTCATTTCCTGTCACTGTCCTTGTGAATGAGCACCTTATTTACTGGCCTTAACACCAGGTGTTGGGGTACCTGAAGTCACAGATGTACCATGGAAAGTTTCACAAAGTTTCAGTGGCATCCCTGCTGGCAACATTTGACAACTGTGGCATTTATATCTGCATGATGCCTTTAACCCGATGACTAGCGGCTACTAACTTTCTTAGTATCAAAGTATTTATGAATTTTCGAAATATTCGTCCACTAGTTTTATTGTTGGAATGAAATATAGCAAGACTTGCATTGCCCAAATGTAGGTAGTTTAAGAAACATAAAGCCTTATTAATTTAGTTTTTTTGCATTATGATCTTTAATATCTTGGAAAATTACATTAGGAAATCGTATTTATAAGAAATGATTACAATATTTATATTTGCTACAGATTTGAACTTATTACTTTTAATGTTTTAGTACATTATTTTGAAATCCCCAAAAAATTGTATCCTCCATAAAATGCAAATTTTATCTATTTTTAATTTTTTTAATAATCACATGTACTTTTTATGGTTTCAAGTAATGTACAGACTCGTAAATAATATTTGTAAATAAACCTAAACAATAAATAGGTATTTTTATTTTTAACTAGGATTTCATTTTAATTTTGTTTCATAAATATATTTTTATTTCAAATTTATGTTTATGTTTCATTGCAGTCGTATTTTGTGTTTATTGTGCCGAATAAACTGTGGGGTCAGCAGCATGAACTTTGTACGTTGTCCATAAACTATCTCACCCTTTTTGGTGG